TAAAATCAGAAACTTTGAGTCTTCCGGCATCATCTGGAGCACATTCGATCTCTAGCTGCAAAAGCAAATCAATCCATATATTAAATCTTTGAGTGTTAAAAGCACTAAGTATTACAAACACATAGTAGCTATCAATCTTATCAACATTGAGTTTAAAGATGAGATTAACCTATACCCAAAGATGTTTTTTGTAAAGCAGACTACAAAGTACGTACTAAATGCATTACAGTTTGCCTAATAATTCCAGCGTACATTGACACCAGAAGCCCTGTGAAGAAACCTTATTCATCTCCATCTTCCTTAAGTCCGCAAGCCTCATAGCCAGAGCCCGGATATGCAGAGGCTAGGGGTCCTCCACTCGCCTCGCCGACTGCCTCCACACGCCTTGTTGGTATCCCTTCTGCCCCATAAATTTTGGCGTCATCTCTTCGCTACCACCGTTGCTGGAAAGAGGTCTGGGTGACTGGGTCTGTCGTCGCCCATCCCCAAAATCGAAAAATTACTTGATGAGGCACCTCGTCGCGAGTAGCCCACCAGTGCGGTTGCCATAGCCTATGGTTCTGCGGTACTCCATTGGATATTGCTAGCTGTAGATTGCCGATTATTTGCCTCCTCCATGCCAATTCAGATGAAATCGGTGATATGGTCTTAAGTTGCCAACAAATAATATAGCAGGTATGCAGATTATAGATTTGATTTTTTAGATAATGGACAACCAATTGAACCAAGTAACCAAGGGTCCATAGGGGTTATTCTGTGTCAATGGACAACACGCTATGACAATTGACAGTTATCAAATCAACTTTAATTAATGTTGGCATTGCTTTGAACCCCGTCCAATTTTTATTGAGCCAACAGGTCACTGCAAAAGTGGTTGACTATTCAGTCCTTGCAGCTTGATACTTAGATTGTCTTTCATGACCCGTTTGACCCATTTTTTTGACCCATATTAGACATGTGTTTGGGCGGGAAAATTTGCCATTTTCCACCTATTTTTATATATAGTTAGATCTTGAGGTGTGTTGGGATAATTGGCCCAATACAGGACCGACCCAATACCCCATAAGGAACACGGGATCAAGAGTAACAGCCCAACGGGGATCAAGAAGCACCTGACGCTCTTCAAGACCTATGTGACGCTCATCGCCTATAAACAGGGACCCATTTGAGCCAATCAGTCAAATGGGGGGCCTCAGTCGAGACGTTTGGCAGTCGCCGAACGACATCTTATCTTTGCGCTTACCGGGGTCAGGGATCATGAAGGCCTCAACTGGAACGTCCAACATAATTGGTGGGAGAGTTAGGATATTGACGGGAAGCACATTAAATACCCGGATATGCAAGATTTGGTGGTTGGGAAGCTAGCTACTCATGATCCTCCACATCACCACTACCACCTACCTCATGATAGTATAAATAGCAACATTTATTTCATAATTAGGGGTTGACAACTTGTACTCACTAAGGATGTTTTTACTTGGACTGTAATTTGCTGGTCTGGCCTGTTCTGGTTTCTTTGTATTTTTATAACTATCCAAGTCTGGTCTGGTCTGGATTGGACTGGTCTGGTCTGATCTGGTCTGATCTGGTCTGGTCTGGGACGAATTACAGTCCAAGTTAAAACATCCTAACATTACATCTAATCTCTTGCACTCATAGCATAGACTAGACGCTCGACTCGACTTTCAGTATAATGTGCTGTAATTGTTTGTTATTGCTTAATAAAAACTCGGCCGACTTATTGTCTCCCTCTCATTTGCTAGATATTTGTGCCCTCATTTTCACTTAACTCGCCAAAATATCCATTGAAGCCCAATGGAACATGTTGGACCCTTGGAGTTAGGGGTGGGCAAGAATACCGAACTGGACCGGTATGGTACCAGGCTGAAGAACGAGGTTTGAAACGGATTTCAAATTTTTTGTCTTGAACCAAACCGTACCGGATTTAAACAGTGCCATGACGGGTTCTCATAAAATGAGAACCGGTACCGGACCGGACCGAAGTATGGTTTAATTATTGAAAATTGTACTACTATAGTTTATCTGAAATTTGTTTATTACTCCATCTGTCTCAAATTGATTTGCAAAGTCAACAAATTTTGGTCAACCACTTTTAAAGTTAAGTTCTCCCTATTGATAATTAATACTACCTCCGTCCTGTTTTAAAGTTCCCATAGCAAACCGACACAATTATTAGGCAATAATTAAATAAAGTAATGGCTAAAGGGTGAAATAGGTCCTTGAACTGACTTAAAGTGTTCAATTAGCCCCTTATATAGGAGGTTCTGTCCGGCCCGTCGCCAATTGGGGCGGTTGCCGTGGAATTTTTGATGAATTTTTTTTAGCATCTTCTTCATTAAGTCTAGTTTACTCATACCAAATTGCAGCTACAAATTCAACCGGGAAGGCAGTCAAATGATTTTTTGAAGATAACTGCGAAGTTAAACAACGCAGTACATTTCGGAAAATCATTTGACTGCCTTTCCGGTTGAATTTTTAGCTGAAATTTGGTATGGGTAAACTAGACTTAATGAAAAAGATGTTCAAAAAAATGCATCAAAAAATTGCACCGGGAACCGCCCCAATTGGCGACGGCCGGGACGAACCTCCTATATAAGGGGCTAAGTGAGCACTTTAAATAAGTTCAAGGGCCTATTTGACCCTTTAGCCTAAAGTACTTCGAGTATATTTTGAGAAATAATTTTAGTAGGTATATATTATAATGTAGTTAGTATTGATAACTATGATGTTATAAATGTGTTATTTTTAATATTTAATGATTAATTTGTCACTTAAGATTGTTAATTGTTTCCTAAAATGGAAATATGAACCTTTATATGGGACTCCCAAAAAAGAAAAGTGAGAACCTTCTAATGGGACGGAGAGAGTACAATTTTTAATAATTACTTCCTCCGTTCCGCTAACAATAGGACAAGAGGGAGTGACTCGCAGATCAATAAAAGGTGGGTTATTATGTGGTTGATATTGAATTGGTAAAGTTAGAATGAAGTAAAAATGATTTAAAGCCACAAAAAGTTTACCAAATTTGGTATGTGACAATGTTAGTGGGACGAATCGAAAAGGTAAAATGCAACAATCTTAGCGGCACGAAGGGAATACAATTTATATATTTAGAAACCACATTAAAACCTCTTTAAAGTTCAAAATCCGAATTAGAAAATATTTTTTTGAAAGGCCAAATTAGAATATCATTAAAAAGTGATATCCTGATTAAGTGTATAAAAAGAAATGTTTGACCAAAAAAAGGTTGACTTTGCAAATCAATTTAAGACGGAGGTAGTATGTATTATGTAATATGAAAATTGATAAATTTTGTGTATTTTTGGAGGATGGCTAAACATTAATTTTTCCTTAAATACCTGGGAAAAGTGGCATTGTTTGGTATTGGTATGACATGGTACCGCCCCGTTTGAATATGGAGCCGTACCAAATGGGTTTAAGTCCAAAACCAAACCGAACCGAACCATTTCAATAGTCACGATACGGGTATTAACCTCTACTTCGACAAAATATTGGATCGAACCGGACTGTGCTCACCCCTACTCGGAGTTGGAGGAATTAACCTCAACACTAGCGTCGTATGCGGGAAACTGAACAAAAAATTCTCGAGCAAAGCTCTTGCGCTAAGCAACATCTTTTTGAACTCATCAACAAGCAACATGGTCAGATTCTTCTTTGAACACACTTGATACCTCTCCGAACAGCTGACGAACAACAGGCGGATACGCACCCTGACATCCGCAGAGTCTTCACCCACTAGGGCAATAACTGGGATGTCACAAACCCGATTCTCCTTGAGGCCAGGAGGGACCCTCGAGTTATGACTTATGAGGGAATTGGCGGAGGCCAGGCAACACATGGCTGACCAAAACGACGCAGAGCAGACCGTCTACTCGGTGAAAATCGAGCGTACGCCCCTTCCCCATATGATGTATGCAACATTTTGTGGAACATACTGATAAGACCGAGGCCTCTCGTACCTCAGTTCACTCGTGACTCAGCGGATCACAGGCTTCCCATGACATGGGAGGTCAAAGACACCCGGGCGTCCCAAGGCATCGACGACACACCGCGACAGACCAAACCACAGTGGTCCAACGCAACAGTACCTAGACCAGAGAGTCAACTCCCACGATGAACAATGTAGGCCGCCGTTTCCAATACATTGAGGGGAACAATATCCACATCATCTAAAGGCAGCACATTGTCAGACAAGCCCGCGCGGGGGGCGGAAGCAGTGATTGCACACCCCGCGCCCCGTGTTCCTACGACATTGGATGTGATGTTGCCCAGGTTACAAAGGAGATTGATCAGTTGAATCACCAGACAAATTCGGTGCAGCCTCGTATCAGCCTCGCTTCCCCTTTCTTTATGAGGATCATTGCCGCTCATATTCCCCGAGAATGGAGGCCACCGTTCAGGTTTAACCGTTCTTACCCAAACCCAAACTGAACCTGAGCTATAAAAGCCTCATCTCAGACTTAATATAATGGACCTTATTCCGGTTCCTAATTTTCTTAACCAGAGATCTTACCGTTAATTTTGGATTTATCACCCAACCTAGACAGGACAAATGTCGGAACATCCTCAATGGTGTAGTGGATTGGAGTAAAGCCTATCCTACGTGACATAGTGGAAAGATAGAGACAAGATCATTATTTTATTTTAATATAGAGAAAGTGGTATGCACGGGGAAGATAGAGATAGAAGTAAATTGTAGACATTGGGGCTGTTTGGATTCTGGCATGTAAGGGCAAAACGCCATTTTTTTGTTAAGAAAATGCTGGTATTTTCAACGTTTGGAGTGGAAAACGCCAAAAAACAAACATATCTAATGTCTAAAACAATGTCCTCAAATAGACTTATACAAGAATTGAGAGGGTAAAAGTGGATGAAAAGTGTGTTAGAATCTATAAAGAAAAAAATTAAAATACATATGGATATCTGCACATAAAATTTAAAATTTGTGAGATAAAATGGGACAAAACACTAGACAATCATCTTGAGATGGTTTGAGACTTGCCCGAATTCTTCATCCACTATCAAGCGAGCAAAAAGACTTAAAAGAGACTCAGAAAGTGAAGTTCTGTTGGTTTGGTTGCGGCAGCTGCGTTCCACTTCTAACCCGCAAATCACCAGGCCCGACTCCTGGATCTCTGCCATAGCTCATATCTCCGAGCCTCAGCTGTCATGTCCTTCACTTTTGACTGACTCATGGAAATGTCGGCCTCGCTCGCCTCATCAGAGCAGCCTCGAGTGGGAACATCTAATGCGGTACGGTATCTGAACCAGTGTACACAACGATGTTTTTTATTGTTAGCAAAACACTTCTATACTTGTGCACTCAATCGATTGCGCTTTACTTGCTGAAGTCATATAAGAACTGTCAATGGTCAAGTCTTTAGTTTCGTTTATGTTCAATTTTGTGCCACAAGTACTTGACGTGGTGGTTGGACTAGCATTGACCATAGCTCGTATGTGGTAGAAGAAGGATAATCGTAATTCGTGAGTTCTTTCCAAAGCTCTAATTTGTCAAATCGGGCAATTAACGATCTCTTGCTATTGAAATGTATGTATGGGCCTGCAATTCGGGGATGATGCAAATTTAGCTGTCAATTTACTCATTTTACTGGATGAACAAAATATACACAATGATTCATTTTTTTTTTATCAGTATTGTTTGTGTACACCAGAAGACAGCTCACTGCTACTGCAAAACCATTTCATTTGCGTACTGTGAAATGATGTGGATATATATACACTCAAACATATACTCTTATACTCCCTCCTCCCCAAATTTAGATACTAGGTTGACTTCACGGGTGTTTGGGCAAGATAACGGGTTGTGTTGACTTTTTAAATTTGTCCCCATTAAAGATATGGTGGGAGTGAGTCATCAATGGTGTACCTTTCATAGGGTTAAGACAGTCTTTTACCACAGAAACAGTCAAATATTACCCAAAAAGGAAGTATGAGCTCAATTTTGGGATGTCCCAAAAGGAAAGTGATAACATAATTTAGGGATGGCGGGAACGTATAAAATGAACTGGTTTTGATTTTGGTGCAATTTTTTATTAGCACCAAATTTTATAAGTGACCTTATGTCTCAGGTACTGCTTCTAAATCTTTAAGCATCTATCTTTTTTTACTTTTACTTCTTATTTTAGGACTGTAGAATGCTTTTAGAGCTCACTCCTTGTTAGAGCATATTAGAGTAAGACTGGGGAAAGAGAACGGTTTAGGGAAATGTTCAAAGAATGCCAGAAATACCCGAGTTCCCTTTAAAGAGACTAAGTGAGGTAGGTCTTAGTGTCTTACACTCTTACTTAATGTCGGTTTTTGACAAATCAACAACATTCCCTCACTGCACCATTTCCTACCCATAGCCTAATCAAACATATTATATAGAACTTAAAGTAGGAACTGTCTCAGGAGTAAAGATAAATGTTATGAAACTCCACTACTAAAATTATTTTCTTGTTTCTGGTTCTTTACTTATTGCTTCATAGTTTGTGCTTTTTGTTTGAAAATCAATGGTGCCATATTCAGGTATTCAAAAGCGGGCCACTATTCATCTCTTCAAAAGGTCAGTAAAACGTGAATGTTTTGGATTTAACCCTTTCATGTATTCTTTCATTTGCCTTACTTGCCTCTTCATCCAAAAGGTTGGCCATGGCATGCCTACATGCTTTTGGAAACACTGTTACTCTTTCTTATTCCATCATTGTCCAGATTGTAAATTTTTAAAATTTATGTTTTGAGAACATGCTAATTCTTTTGTAATTGTTTTAATATGTCTAGTTCCTAAAAAGCTTTTTGAACCAAGAGTTTGGTTGCACCTATTAGTCTTCACATCCCTCAAACTAACATGGTATGTTTGCAGGACTAGGTTGGAAGTCTTGGAAAAAGCGTTGGTTTATTCTTACGCGCACATCTTTGGTTTTCTTCAAAAATGACCCTGTTAGTAATTATTCCCGTTATCTAAACTTAGAACTTAGAAGCTAACTAATTACATGTTAATTTGACTGCACATTCTAGTTCTAAGGGACTTATTTTTTTACTATGAACTATCCCCTTACACATTTTGTGTTTATACGCTAACATTAGAATATGCAAAGGTTTGACTAGAAAAATCCAATAACTTGCGAGTAATGTTTGATAAATGCCGTTTGATTTTGTTGTTGTTGAGCTTATTAGTTTTTAAAGCTTTTTTATCTTTCTCATGTTCTTTATCGACGCATCATCCCTCAACCTGGGTGGTGTCAAATATGCTAAGGGCATGCTATACTTCATAGGCCTCAGTGTGTTCATAAGAATGCTAAGGTTGCTAGGTTGTCGCTCGGAAGCAACTCGCCACTCCAATGCCCATGGATGGTGTCAAATATGCAAGGACATGGTGGGCGGTCCTGATGGTGTTAAGAATAGAAGGCGGGGTGCTAGATTGCGCTTTGGGACACAAAATGTTGGGTCTCTTATGAGAAAATCATCTGAGCTAGCCGAGGTTACAAGGAGGAGGAATATCATCATTATATGTGTGTAAGAAACTTAATGAGTTGGAGAAAAGGGACATAGGATTAATCTTGAAGGTTTTAAGTTGTAGTATTCACGGAGAGAAAAGACCCGAAATGGAGTAAGGTTATTGTGGCGTGTGACTATGTTGAGGGTGTGGTGGAAGTCTTTAGGAAGAACGACCCCATCATGAGTATTGAATCGTTGATAGGGGATGAGATGACGTCTGTGGTAAGTGCATACCTTATACACCTCGACTGGGATTGGATCCATCTATCACTCAATAATTTTGGGAAGATATTGAGAAAGTGGTGCGACGAGTGTCAAGAGAAAAACTGGTCATAGGAGGCGACCCCAATAGGCACATGTATTCGAGTCGTGATGGTTTTGAGAGTACCCATGGCGGACATGGTTTTGGCATTAGAAATGAGACGATAAAGAATAATTTGGATTTTTCCTCGACATATGAGTTGGCTATAACGAACACTTGGTTCAAAAAGAGACTCTAACATTGTGACATATAGAAATAGAGTTAATAGTACTCAAAGTGACTACTTCTTATTATCCCAGAGAGTGTTGTCACTCACCATTGGATGTTTATGCTTTATTTTCAAGGTAAGAAGTATAAAAGTCGGGTTAAGCAACACATGGAGTCAAAGATAAAGTCATGGATGCTCGAGGAGGACCTCCAACAAAGCTTTGCACACAAAATGTTGGGTGGGGATGTTTGCTATATTAATAATGATACACATGTGGACGATGTGTCATGTCTGGTTATCAATGGAGTTGACGATTAACAAAGTGATGAAAGAGATACTTGAAGAATCTAAAGGATGTCTGCCACAAAAAAGGACACATCTTGGTGGAATGATGAGGTGAAACAAACTATAAAGAACAAAAGGGAATGTTACAAAAAGTTGGGCAAAAGTTGGAGCAATGAGCATAGATGAGTACAAGGAGACTAAAACAAAAGACGAAAAAGCCGTAAAGAAAGCACGAGCAAAAGTGAACCAAGAGTTGTATGTAAAGTTACTCTATCGAAGGAGAAAGATATTTGCAAACTTGCTCGTCTTTGTGATCGTATAACTCAAGATATCACAAAAATTAAGTGCGTGAATGATGTCAATCAAAGGGTAATGGAGGACGGGGAAATAAAAGAGAGGTGAAGGCCATACTTTGATACCTTGTCATACTTGTCACGGAGGTAAGGCGAGTCGCAACATCGGTCGACCGCCATATCGCCTAGGCGATAAATCGCCCGCCTAGGCGACAATTAGGCGACTAATCACACATTGTATAATATATTATGTATAATTATGTATATAGTTATATTTAACATCCTATTAATTTATTAATCTATTAGTACGCCTAATTTATCAATATACAAGTTATTAAATTCAAAATTAATAAATAAATATACCTAATTTATTAGATATCTAATGTATTAATATACAAGTTATATGCATTGCTAATTATACTGTAGTGTGTATCTATACATACTGTGTAATGTATACGAATTATACATGTATAATATTAAAATTGAACTATGTAAAACTATAGTGGGTATACTGCTTGGTGAGTAACTGCATATAAAATATATTAATGTTAATATAATGAAATAAGAAGCCTGATAAAGACTAAATTGATAAGTGAATAACCGATAGAATTAAAAAGCTAGAGAAGGAGTGGACATCGCCATCAACCTTGCAACACAGGCATGCAACAACTACAAGTCGTCTACTCAACTTCAACCTTACGACCGAGGCACGCAATAGAGAAGTAGCTAGTGACTAGCGATGCTTCGCCTTTAGGGGTCGTCGATTGACCTTTGAGTTTGAGGGTCGACAATTGTCCTTTTGGACTGAGCTTCAAAAGACGAATTTATGGAGATTTCAAATCTCCCCCTCACGCCAGGACTGTGCCCGGATGACATGCTTACGCCTAGACGACGCCAGAGACGACTAATCTTCTTCTGCAATTTGACGACTAGGCGACGCCGTGACAAGTATGTACCTTGTTCAACGGGAATAAAGCACAAGGTATAAATGATCTTACTATACTTGATTGTATGGTAAATCATGATTTTGTGAGAAGGATCCAAATGACTAATGTTAAAGAGGCTCTGAGAAAGATGATAGAAGAAAGTAGTGGGTCTAGATGGCCTATAGATCGAGGTCCAGAGAAGTTTGGGAGAGAGGCATTGAGTGGTTAATATGCTTCTTAAACAAGATTTGAAGAAATAACAAAATGCTAACGAATAGGCGGAAGAATACTCTTATTCCTCTATTTAAGAATAAGGGTGATGTACACGAATGTACCAACTTTTAATGAATTAAGCTTATAGTCACACCATGAAACTTTGGAAGTGAGTGATTGAGAGACTTTGAAGAAGTTTGAATATGTCTGGCCGCTCAACAATCGAGGCCATTCACCTTCTTAAGCAAGGTGTGGAGAAGTATAAAGACACTAAAAATGATCTGCATTTGGTGTTCATTGATTTAGAAAAGGCATATGAATGGTACCCCGAGAAGTCCTTTGGTGAGTCTTAAATAGAAAAGGCATATCACGGAAGTATATTAACATCATCATGAATATGTATGAGGCTTGTACTATAAGTGTCCATATTAGTGTAAGGAGGACTACAGAGTTCCCTATTACTATCGTAGTGCACCAAGGATTGACTCAAGTCCTTTCTTATTTGTTATAGTCATGGATGAATTTACGAAGTCAATTCAAGATGATATACTGTTGTGCATGATGTTTGCCGATGATATTGTATTGATTGATACACAATCGGGTGTTATAGCAAAGTTGGAAGTATGACAACATATATTGGAGACCAAGGGTTTCAAATTGAGTCAAAGTAAGATTGGATATATGAAATGCAATTGTGCAAGTTTGTTGGCAATGAGATATTGATTTGTGATATGTTTCGTTACTTGGGCTAAATAATTCAGAAGGATGTTGAACTAGATGGAGATGTATTTCATAGAATCAGAACATGGTGGATGAAATGGAAGATTTCATCGAAATTTCTATGCGGTCGAGGTATGCCCACTACACTGAGTGGTAAATTTTGTTGGACTTAGTTTAGGCCTGCATTACTGGATGCCATAGAGTGTTGGACGGTGAAACAATGTCACATTCAAAAGATGAGTATGACAGAGATGCGTATGTTGCGTTGAATGTGTGGACCTACTAGAAAAGACCGTTTGAGGAATGAGATAATCAGACAAAAGGTGGGAGTAGGACCTATATAAGCTAAGATGTAGAAATATCGATTGTGGTAGTTTAGTCATGTGCGTAAAAGACTGAGTGATGCAAATGTTAGACGAGTTGAGAGGTGGGGAGAAGAGTCGGAGAAGAGAGGAAGATGAAGACCCAAACAAACGTTGATTAGAGGAATGAAAAATGATATGCTTTTTTTTGGGTTGGATGAGAGTATGACTTTGAGAGAGCAAAATGCAGAGCCAATATTGGTCTGGAGGATTGATTTCTTTTCTCTCCTTTTTCTCTCTTTTCTGTTTATCCTTTTTATCTTCTTTATCTTTCTTATGTTCTCTATCTTTTTATCTTTTTTCTTTTATATATTTTCTTTTTATCCTCTTTATCTTATCCTTTTTATGTTACCTCATCTGTTTATCTCTCTTATCTTTCTTTTCTTTTCTCTTTTTATCTTGTCTTTCTATCTTTATATTCTTTATCTTTATCTTATCTTTTTTTAATTGAGAAAAGTGTCAAATATGCCCTCCTATATTAATTAATAGTTAGTAATAATAATATGAAAACTTATGATACATAATATGGTAATTATATACTGCCTGATACGTATAAAATATTCCAAATATAAGTGCAAAACACATTTATACAAGATTTTTAAGATTTTGTAATTACTACTACATATTATGTTTATTTTTCTGTTCCTCTAATTTTATATACATTCATGGTTTACTTAAAAATTGTGTACTAGATAATAATATTTTTATTAGGAAGGATTTCTTTAGTTTACGATTTAACCATACATTATAATGTACATATACATATACATATACATATATGTATATATAGGGTGCGGTTCCAATGAGAACGATGCTTAACGTGAGAACGTGAGAACACTCACATTTAAAACAATGTGATGCACAATGGAGCTCTTCTGTTGCACATTTTCAATTTGCTCGATTTAAGCCTATATTAAATAAACACGGTGGCATTTTGGTGATTATTGTGAAAACATGAAAAAGTGCAATATACAAGCTTCATTGTGCAACACGTTGGGGTAAATGTGGTGTTCTCACGTTCTCACGTTAAGCATTGTTCTCATTTGATCTTTATTCTACATATATATATATATATATATATATATATATATATATATATATATGGCAGGAGTCCATATCAGACCGGCCTGACAGGACCTGCCATCTGGCCAAAGCCATTTGGGGCCCTTACCGGTAGAATTTTTTCAATAAAGTTTTTTGACCATGTTCTTCATCTAGTTTAGTTTATGCTCACCAAATTTCAGCTAAAAATTCAATCGGGAAGTCGGTCAAATGTGGAATTGAAAAACATTGCGTTGTTTACATATATAAAAGCACAATGTTTTTAAATAATTTAATTAACTGCCTTCCTGATTGAATTTTAAGCTGAAATTCGATGGGCATAAACTAGACTTGATGAACATGCTCAACAAAGTTTATCAAAAAATTCAATCGTGAAGGGCCCCAAATTGCCTTGGCCGGACAGCGGGTCCTATCAGGCCGGCTTGCCAGAATTGCTACTCTCTCTATATATATATATTGTACGGGTTGACCCTTGGCACGGGCATTTGTACGGGTTGCCTCCCGGTCTGGTTTTTACAACATAGAGTTAAACTGAACGTCGACAACAAGCTATTTGAGACCACCATCCGTACACTTCAGTCCGGTGGTTCGCCATTCGACTGCACGATGGTTTTCCAATTAGGAGTTCATTGAAGAAGCCGTCTGTTTCGGCATCATGAGTTCGAGATGCAACTCAACACCATTGACTCCGACAGGCTTTGGAGTCAAGAAGGTGCCCGAACCTTACAAAATTTAAAATGGCATATTGTACGGAGTACCCTTCCACAACCCCGTGGCAAAATGGTGAGAGGATTAACATTGTTGTATTCAAGTTTTTGCCTTTTTTCTTATGCCAACAAGGCTGAACCTTCAATGTTCTCCAAGTAGGAGCTCATTGAAGAAGCCGTCTATTTTGGCATTGTGAGTTCAAGACCTACCTCAATACCATTGACTCCGACAGGCGTTGGAGTCAATAAGGTGCCCGAACCTTACAAAATTTAAAATGACATACTGTGTAGAGTACCCTTCCACAACCCCGTGGCAAAATGATGAGAGGATTAACATTGTTGTATTTGAGTTTTTGCCCATTTTTCTTATGCCAATAAGGTGCACGAACCTTACAAAATGTAAAATGACATATTGTGTAGAGTACCCTTCCACAACCCCGTGGCGAAGTTAATCTGACTTTGGGAGGCATAGACTTAAATAACTCTGGAAGGTAATTACTAGTTACTGGCACATCATTTATATTTTAATTTATTTCTAATCCTTACGACCTTACCTTAGTACATCAAATGCAGTGTGGTTGTTAGAGATGATAAAAAACTGCTAACTGTACTCTTCCCTGATGGACGTGATGGTCGGGCATTTACTCTTAAGGTGCTCTTTTGATTACCCAAATACTTAAACAAATGCACACAATATTGGCCTTTGTGCTATTTAAGGAATTTTTATCTTTGCCAAACCCTAAGTATTTTATGTAGGCTGAAACATCAGAAGATTTGTATGAGTGGAAGACTGCTCTTGAGCATGCTCTTGCTCAAGCGCCCAATGCTGCACTTGTGATGGGACACAATGGCATTTTTCGAAGTGAGAATGGCGATTCAGTGGAGGGGTCTTTCCATCATTGTATGTACATTTGTTATCATTATCTATTGATCCCCCCCATTTATTATTAAATCAAATAAAGTTCACATTTTTTCCTCTCTACCAAAGATCTGCAACTCTACTGGGTTCTTATTTATGCAGGGAGGGATAAGCGTCATGTTAAGTCTTTGGTTGTTGGACGGCCAATCTTGCTTGCCCTAGAAGACATAGATGGTGGCCCATCCTTCCTCGAAAAGGCACTTAAATTTCTTGAGAAGCATGGTAAGCTCACAATTGATCCCCTTTGACAAAATATAAGTAAAGGTGAGAATTTGAGTAATTCTCATCTTCTTTACTTTAGTAGAAGGATCCTATGTTTACACACACACACACACACATGTTTCCATTTAGAAACAAATTGCCATAAACTACTATACCCTATATGGGTGACCGTGATGTCTGCAATTATTTATTTCTATTAGTGTTCAGGTAACTCCACATTCCAAGCAGATAATACATTTGTATTAAAGCCTTCTATTCTTTTTAACAAAGCTGACTCTAGATGATATTAATTTTCTTAAGCTCCCCATGTTTGTTTTTATTCCTCTATGGCTCTATCTAATAGTGGTTCGGATAGTCATGTAGACCCCATCACCCCATTGATGAAAGACTAAGGCTTGGATGTTGTTTTTAGATCACACTTTCTATTCTTATTGCATTATATTGATCTATGATGTGTATCTCTCCAAAGGCAGCAACATGTGTAGCTCCCTGTTAATTTATTGTTTGACCTTTTTGGATTTTTGACAGGAACGAAAGTTGAAGGGATATTGCGACAATCTGCCGATGTAGAGGAAGTAGAGCAAAGGGTAAAAGCATACGAGCAAGGTCCAAACTATAAACTCCTCCAGATTTTTTAATAATTCAGAATTTAAGTTATTCGTGTAGTCGCCTACCTTAATGGTGTGTTCTCCAAAGCTGAAATTGAGCAAGCCTTTCTGTGTAGGTAAGACTGAATTTGGTTCAGATGAGGATGCCCATGTAATTGGTGACTGCGTGAAGGTATTGGTTGTTACCTCAAATCTTATTATTATCAATTTTATTATCTGTGGTTTTTGAATGAGAGTACTCACTGGCACTACCATTGTTCAGCATGTACTGCGCGAGCTGCCATCATCTCCTGTTCCTGCATCTTGCTGCACTGCATTGTTGGAGGCATACAGTACGTTAATCCTTCACCAAATATGTTTGATTATCTTTCTTTAGCCACCGAAATACTATTACGGTTGCCAACCGTCGGTTGGTTCATTTTCTTCTCTCTTTTCAAGATATACAGTGATCTTATCTTACAAGATTGTCTCCTTATAAAGCTTTTAGATCTTGTAGTTGTACCAAAGTAACTTGCAGACATTGTTGGTAATGCCTAGAAGGTAGGTTGTATGATTTGTGCTGCACAAATGCTTTCAAGTTTGCATGCAGTGGTGTAGAAACTGGCTGCTGACCCTAGCCTAGAATATTCGCCTGCAAATTGAAGCATAACAATTGTTGTATAAGCTAGCGAATAAAGAGTGCACATTTTTCATCTTAGAGGAAAACAATTGTTCTCTTACCTGTCCATTTTTTAAAGTTTGAAAACCAAATTATATTAAGGATGGATGGGAGATTGTATTTCTTTGGATCACATTATGTTTGAAATATACTAAATACTTCTCCCTCTGCCCCACCATCTTTGTCCCGTATTTTCTTTATTGTTTGTCCGACTAAGATTGTCTCATACCACAATTTGTTAATATTTGTGTGGTTCAAATTCATTCATACTTTACAAATTTAATAGCAAACATGTAATTTCACTTTTGTAAATATGCTCACATCCCAAAGATAGCGGGGACAGGGAGGTAGTATCACTTCATTGATAATAGATTCAATTATGCATATATATAAAATCTTCTGAGTTAAGAGTGTTTGTCTTATGATGGAATATACTTGTGTTCAAATAGTGTCTGGTGTCAGATAGAATACCCTCACATGTGTATTTTTGTTTCCTACATCATAGATTTCTCGATTGGATTCTTTTCATTATAATGAAATGCAGAATTGCACACAAATGTTTTCATGAACCTTTCATTCTTCTCTAACTGGAATGTGTTTCCTTGGATTTTCAAAAGAAATTGATAGGAAAGAAGCTCGGTTGAATGCTATCCGCTCTGCAATAGTTGAGACATTTCCTGAACCCAACCGACGGTTACTACAGAGGTATTGTCTTTGTGGGTATAGTGTGCATTTCAAGTACATATAAATCACTCTTTTTAATCTTTAGGGAGTTGTGGGTTGCTTTTGATATGATGCTAAGTAGCCCAGGAAACTCTATGCTAGGTTACCGAAAAGGCTAAATATATGATGCATGTCTCCGAAATAAATGGTCATTACTGAATGTGTTTTTTACCATCTACGATGTTGTTTTGCCTTTTTTTTGGTGACTTTTTTTAACAAATGATGCCAATGTATTGATTTAAAACCCAATATGCAAGGCAAAGATAGAAAATAAAAATTTCAAAACCACGTATTCTGATTACCAAACCCCAAGGTACATGGTCAGACCATGGATGCTGTGTAGCAGGAAGGCATGAATGATTTCTTTGGCTTCTTCTTGGGCTTAACTCTAATGTAGTTGGAGGCTTTGGAACTTTTATCCACGTGTCACATTTTAAGTAGGAAAGCAGATGATGTTAGAGATTTTTAATTTTGTTTTGCTTATATTGGTGACCTATTGTCTATCTTTTTGTAGAATTGTGAAGATGATGTATACAATCTCTTCACATGCTTCTGAGAATAGGATGAATTCATCCGCTGTAGCTGCATGTATGGCACCATTGCTTTTGCGACCTTTATTAGCTGGTGAATGTGAGTTGGAGGATGATTTTGATTCCAATGGTGACAACTCGGCACAGATTCTTGCTGCTGCTAATGCTGCTAATAATGCCCAAGCTATCATTACAACACTCTTAGAGGAGTACGAGAATATTTTTGATGTAAGCTGCTCTTTGACCATTTAATTCTGCGACCACTATATTATTGCTGATATTCTTGTGGATTCTTCAAGCGTAAGTTATCAAGCTATATTTTATTTCTTTCCTACTTTCTCGCCCACCTTCCTCTCTCTATGTATTCTAATTTCTTGCATTGCTTCACTAGTCAATGCCTAATTGAAAATATGATATGTGTTTTTTGCGCTTTGTTAGATAAATTATTTTTGTACTATTTATTCTGACATTTTTGATATTTTTTTTTGAAAAATAACTACTCGTATTATAAGTACTATTCTTTACCACTTGATTTTCCACCTGTTATGATCAGCTGATCGCCAATATGGCACTCAATGTTTTCTTTCATGCTCAGGTTCAATTTGTTGTTCTTTTTTTTTTTTTTTTTTTTAAAAGATAGGTTTCGTAGAGTGAAGGGTAAATTTTATCAAACAACAATTAGTTCTGCATTAATGTGTAACGTAGAGTGTTGGGCGGTGAAACAATGTCACATTCAAAAGATGAGTGTGACAGAGATGCGTATGTTGCGTTGGATGCGTGGACATACCAAAAAAGACTGTTTGAGGAATGAGATAATCAGTCATAAGGTAGGAGTATTAGTGTGTCACCTATAGAAGATAAGATGCAAGAGTCTCGATTGTGGTGGTCTGGTCATGTGTGTAGAAGACCGAATGATGCACTTGTTAGACGAGTTGAGAGGTGGGGAGAAGAGGCATGGATGAGGTAGAGAGGAAGACCCAAACAGACGTGGATGAGGAATCATGAGTGAAACGTTTCTTCATGGGTTGGATGAGAGTATGACTTTGGAAAGAGCAAAGTGAAGGGCGAATATTCGTGTGGAGGATTGATCTCTTTTCTCTTTCATTTTCTTTATCTTCTTATGTTCTTATCTTATTTTTTATTGTTTATCTTTCTTATGTTCTTTTATTATATACGGAGTATTTATGTTTATCTTCATCTTATTCATGTTAGCAGACCCCAAAATCTTTTCAGAATAAGGCTTGGTTGTTGTTGTAGTTGTTGTTGGTGTTGTGGTAAAAGATGGGTTTAGTCTCAACTCCAAATCATTGGTAAACTAATCCATAAAAGTTGTTAGTCATCCAAGCCTTGTTACCTAATCTCTTTTATACTTCTGTATCCCATCATTTTGGGGATCTGTTCTTGCATATTGGTTGGTGTAGTGTGCCTCCATGTATATGACTGTGCAGCCACATATTTTTAGCAACTCCACTATAGCTGTACCCTGACTAACTTTTGCAATGTCAAGAAAATAACTAGTAATCTTGTGATTCTTTTTTACCTATACTAACTGTTTGTATTGTGTGCAGCTTAAGTGATTAAATTATATCGCCCTCTCTGATGTACTTGATGTTCAGTTTTTCTTTTTCCTTTTCTCAGGAGGATAATCTACATCGATGCTCTATTTCAGCGGATTCACGCATTGGAAACAGTGGCAGCGAAGATTCAAGTGATGAGGAGAGTTTGGAGGTGAAAGGCATTGGTTATCATGATGCTGAAAATGAGGCCTTGCAAGAATCAGATGATGATCATGATCGTGTACTTAGTGGAAAGCTAAGTGACAGCAGTAGCTCTGCTGCCAGTGATCTTTATGATTACAAGGTTCTCCCCCACCCACCCCTACTCCCACACAGAGGCAAATCTTTCATTTATATGACATGTCTATTCCCCACAGAGGCAAATCTTTCAGTTATACGGCATGTCTATGCTATAAACAAGTTCCTATGTTGCATACATATATTTTCTATTCAGTTTTGCTCATGATGCACTTATAATTAGATTATGTTAGGTATCTGGCAAAGTCGGCCATAATGCCAATAATAAATTTGAGTTCAGATAGACAGCAACACTTTCTTGCAATAGGAGGCAATAAGGTGTTGCCTTGGTAAAAGGTCTTCGGTCTTGAGGGCATCCATTTTATGCGCATATCTTAACAAGTTAGGGGGTGTTTGGATCTACTTCTTAAAACTGCCTCTGCTTCTTCACAGAGCACAAGCATATATTGAAGTGTTTGGGTGAAAATGCTGAAGCACTTCTGAGTGTTCCAAATTGCTCTTAGAAGCCGTTTTTGATAAGCTGGGGGAGGCAAGCTTTTGAAAAAACTGATTTTGATTCTACTGCTTTTTAAAAAGAAGCAGAAGTATAATCAATTCCAAACACCGCCTTAATAAAACTCATTGACTCCATTTTATGGTCCGTGTACTACAGTGGCTGAGTTTTAATAACATATCACGTTGCATGTTGTACAGTTAGAAAAACATAGGAGTCGAGAAATCAAGTGAATATTTCAAAAGAGTTTAGACAACCACTCTGATCTCAATTTAGGAATTCACATATCACTCAATTAGAAAAACGTAAAGAACTGAAATCAAGCATATTCACAACACGACTACATGAGTGTGGTCAACCATTCTAATTTTAATTTATGAATTCTTTTAGCTATTATAACTGTAAAACAAGGGTAAGCACAAGAATTTTAGCTCCCTGAAAACATCGTCGTGCATACTACTCAGTTTGTATTTTCTTTTGCTTATGCAGTGTATTAACCATTTGCGTTAAAGGTGCATTTGTTTATTGAGTTCAGGCATTTGGAGGTGATGATTCAGATTTTGACTCTCCAAGGAACAATCAAACAGCTGGAATTGAGTTTAAACCAACTGCAGACTCTCAGCCAGCTACAGATTCAAACATTTTATTTAGTGAACAGCTGGGCGGCCTAGACCGACATAAAAGGACATCTGAGTGTGGGAGGGCTACTCCTTCTGAATCAACAAATAATGGATCTCAGCGGTCTATGGGTGAAATACTTTCATCTATGGATCAAGGGCTATTTCATCCTTCCTCTGGGAAAAATTCACCCATTGGGAGGTCCTCCAGTAAATTAACTTCCCCCCATCTCAATGTCAAAAGATCATCATTCTGGGGCCGAAACAGTGTAAGTGTTGGTTTCCATGATTTTTTTGTTACCACGAGCCCGCATACCGTTTTTTTTTGCTTCAGAAGACATGATTCCAATTTAGTTTGTTTATTGTACTTTTTGTTTCTGTTTATTTTTGTAAGTTTTAATGATAAATCTGATTGAATGAATGCTCTCATAAGAACCATTGCTCATTTGTCAAACTTTTATTTTCTTTAGAATGTCTGTTGGATTCAAACTCTTTGTTGTATCTGATGATGAGACTTCTCTATTGCGCAGGCAAGAAAGACTCCATCAGTGGATTCAGTTGATTCTTCTGGAGAGGAAGAGTATGTTCTCTTTCTATAATATTATCAAATGTTCAAAAACTAGAACAAGCTCGTTTGCTCAAACATTTCAGAGCATTATTAAATCATCTTACTAAATGAGACACTATTTTCTAAAGCTTTACTTATCATCTTTCACTGAATATCTTATTTTTGCATAATCTTCTCGGATAATATTTATTGGTATTTCATTTCACTTGTCCTAGTAGCAGACAGTTCATATTCTCTTCTACTGCTGCACTCTGTTCTGTAGATCTTGTTCATTACTTCTCTTAGCCAACAAATGATCTGATATGTTTTTTAAGATTTCATATGGTCTGAATATTTTTTGTGTGGTTTGATTTTGTCTTATTATTTCCGGTCTGGTCTGATATGATTGTTTGATTGTTTCAGATCTTGTCTACATTTCTGTCTGAAATATGATATATTGTCTCATCTGAATCTTTTTGTTCTTGTTTGGTCTGATTTTTTTTGTCTGTTTGGGCGTTTCTGGTTTGCTCCAGTTTGATTAAAATGAGAACAGATCATCATCATCATTACCCCATTGCCGCAAAGGCTCCCCACCTACGGTGGGGTAAGGGGGGGTCGGATGTACGCAGTCTTACCCATGTACTAAAGCAAGAAGACTGTTTCCGGATGACCCATGGTGAAAATCGTGTTGAAAATTGCATAGACTGACTGCTGCTTCATAACAAAGAAGCGCATACAGTTTAGAGAGCCATTTTGCTTTATTCCATCATATTCCCAAGCCAAAAATAGGTAAACTTTGGCTCCGTTGCAAATGATGGAAAATAAAATGAAAATAGATTATAAGCAAAAATTAAATGAAGAGAACACCACCTTAGTCATGCTCCACGATGTGAATGGCGATTATACAATTTTATTTTTGCAATTGGACGTGATTATTGCCTCTATCTCAACTCATTGTCCTCTCATGATGTTATTCATACAAGTGGCTAAAACACATGGTTTTGAGAATATTAGGATTTCATTTCATTATTCGTTAGAAGGTTGTGACATGAAGGGCATCTAGCCTTAAGTTTTGCCTAAATTTAGTGTTTAGCAATTTTAGACAATTAATTATGTAATTGGCGTTACAACAACATCCAAGACTTCATCTGAAATAATTTGGGGTCGGCTAACATGAATGGACATATGACATCGCAGTTGTGATTAAATTGACGTTATGAAGATGAAATTCCCACTCGCCTCATAATAGTTGTGATTAAGCCATTAAGGTGATGATGATGATAATGGACTTTGCTATACCTAGCATTTGTTGGCAGTTAAGAACATATTATGACTCTTCAATTTTATTTAAATCATAATAATTGAAGTCTATTAGGAAAAAAAGATCAAATCAAATACTTAGCCTGTTCAAAAAAAAAAAGAAGTCTACTAGAAAACTTATTAACTACTACCTAACATCTGTTGGCAGTGAAGAACAGTTTATGACACTGGCTTTATTTAGATAAAAAATCTTTGATGTGTACAGTGTACTAGAAAAGTGGTGCTCTATCTACTACTCTTCCTCTCCATATTCACGTGAAAACCTTTGTTTCATTCATTCTCAGTGGTCACTCTTTGTTTGATACTCTATGATGGGGAATTTAACAATTTTTTTAATAGGCTTGCTATACAGAGACTTGAGACTACTAAAAATGACTTGCGTCATAGAATTGCGAAAGAGGTAACTATATTATTTGGTCATATGGCTAGAGCTGGTTTGTGGGTTTGTGTACATTTCTTATTAAAATCCCACTTTCATCTTCTCTAGGCAAGAGGGAATGCAATTCTGCAGGCTAGCCTTGAGAGAAGGAAACAAGCATTGCATGAACGACGATTGGCACTGGAACAAGATGTACGTTTTCATGCAATATTTTTTATTCCTTCTTTTCCGCATCACATGCTCGGTGTTTGTTTTTTCATGTTTAACAAATAGGCTTGACATGAATCTAATGCACATTATGAGAAATAGGTGAGCTTCTTGAGACAGATTATATAATTTTAAAACCTCTGAGAGTTATCTACCACATACAATGGTTACTTTTGCTGTATCAGGAAAATTTGTGTTAGCTTCCTGATGATCTAAGAACTTAGTAAATTAAGTGGGCTTAAGATGTTTAGATATTGTTAAAACAAATCATAGGAGGACATTAGTCATGCAACCACTAAGTTCGAAAACTCTCAATTATGACAGGATATTGGACATGTATCTTCCAGATTGTGGGCTCCAACTATTCCACAATTCTGTTTAAATTCTACTCAATGATTTCACATATACTTCAGATTTTCCAGCTTTCCGCAATAGTTTCCTTTTTAGAGGTTCTGATATCGATACCGATCGAAACTGATATTGTCCCAAATATTTGGTGATTGGATCCTGGGCTTAAGAGAATAATAATAATAATAAGAAGAAGAATATTAGAATAATGTTACATAGTGTGTTATTATGTTTAAGGGGGTCCAGGCCTGGTATTATTTAGTTATGGGCCGGCCCGTACGGAAAATATTATAAATAGGAGGTGAGAGTAGAATAAGGGTAGGCAGAACCTGGACTGGTATTATTTCTATTTTCCGCTGTTGTACGTTGGTTTACTGTTTGCTGTGAGGATCGGTTTCTGTCATTGGTGTCAGAGCATAATGACTCCTGAGACTGTGGATGACCTTCACCCGCTCGCAGATGGAGAACCGGATGGATAATATGGAGCACCCAGTATATCTGGTGCCCGGTGTTATGTTACATTTATTGATGACTTGTACACGTTTCATGTGGGTTTTTCTGCTAAAAACAAGAGTGAGGTGAGTTCCATCATCCCTATCTTTTGAGATGAGTGCCACATGCTTGGTTTGACCGCTTCATCCAGGTTGTTCTTGCTGCTGAGTATAGTCAAAGTCAAGGCGATCATACTCTTTTTTACTAACACTCTCGCCCAAGTGGAGTCACTGTTCTTTTAGCATATGGGAATGACATCATTGTGATCGGTAGTAATCCGGTTGAGAAACATCGTCTTGAGAGGCAGCTAAAATCTCAATCTGAGATGAATTCTCTTGGCCCTCTAAAATACTTTGTTGGAATTGAAGTCGTTCGCTCATCTGAAGGCATCTTTATCAGTCAACAAAAGTACTTTACAGATTTCCCAAGTGAGACAGGTAAGAGTGCTTGTCGACCAGTTACTGCACCTATGGATCCTAATCATAAGCTTGGACTTGCTCTTGATGAACCCAAGGTTGATTCAACAATGTATCAAGTCTGTGCGACAAACTTATCTATCTCTCTCATACCAAACCTGACATTGCCCATGCAGTCAGTGTCCTAAGCCAATTCATACATGACCCAAGGAAACCGCATCTAGAAGCAGCCTATAGGGTTCTACACTACCTAAAAGGAAGTCCAGGACAAGGAAGAGTATCAGGAAGGGTGGACAATTATCATTCCAAGCCTTCACTAATGCAGATTATGGTGACTCTCTCATTGACCGCCGGTCAACTACTGGTTTCTGTGTTTTCTGGCAAAAAACAGAATTATGGCACGATCATCTGCTGAATCTGAGGTAAGAGCCCTTGCCCATGGCCTGTGTGAACTTCTATGGATCAGAATTATTCTCTCTGATTTACGAATCACATGGAATTGAGGTGTGACAACAAATCAGCAATTAGCATAGCTCATAATCCAGTCCAACATGATCAGACCAATCATATTAAGATTGACCGGCACTTCATCAAAGAAAAGGTTGAAGGAGGTCTGATTGAACTAAGCTACACTCCCTCAGAGCATCAAGTTGCAGATGTGTTTACCAAACCTCTTCACAGTCCTAGTTTCAGAATCTTATTGTCAAGCTAGGGATGAAAGATATCTACAAACCTAGCTTGAGGGGGAATGTTGATAAAACGAAGAGACATCGTTAGTCCAGGATTTACTTTCCTTATTATTGCTGTAATTATGGGTCTTTAGTGCTTCAGGTTGTAATTAATACTTGATGTCTTTTTAGTTTGTATTCATTTATGTTTAGTATTTAGACTGTACATCTTGTAAAAGTGAGATCTATCAATAATAATATACGGAAAACTACAGGAACATGGGCAGAAATTATCATAATAATAATGCTAATAATAATAGAATTTTAGTAAATAATTGTGATTGTGTAATAATAAGAGTTCTGGGCCATGTAAGTCTTGAGTTGGGCTGGCCATTTTGTAAGATGATGATGATGATGAGGCAGTATTGATCATCATCATTTACCCCAGTGCCGCAAAGGCTCCCACCTATGGTGGGGTAAGGGGGGGTCGGATGTACGCAATCTTACCCCTGCACTAAAGCACAGAGAGATTGTTTCCGGATGACCATAGTGAAAATCGTGTCCAAAATTGCATGGACTGACTGCTGCTTCATAACAAAGAAGTGCAGACAGTTTAGTGAGTCATTTTGCTTTACTCCATCATATTCTCAAGCCAAAAAATAGTGAATCTTTGGCTCCATGGCAAATGATGGAAATAATTAGGCAGTATTGATATCGCTAAAAATAAAAAAAAACTAGGGAAAACTATCATTGCTATAGCCAAAATGTCGATTAGGCACTCGTACCATAAAAACACCCAATTGAAACCCCGAACTCTTAAAAAAAATGCTCAATTAGGCTTTTTAGCCAATAAAAATGATCAATGCTGCCTAACTAACATTATTTCCACCAATTCAATATTTTAAACCTTGGTTCAACCATGGTTAACATCGTTCTAAATAGCATTAGGTGCACGAGAGACTGGTGACTGGTGCCTAGCACATAGGCGAGGTCAGGTAGAGGATTGATGGAATTAAGTGGGATCAACTCAGAAAAGTGTAGGTGGTTAATGGGAGCCCAGCACCTAGGAGGGGATTGTTTTCAGCAGAACCTTGCTGTGTATTAGGTTTTTGATATCTCAATTCCAAATCATATCTGGACTATGTTTTGCAACATTTTTATACAATATGCCCGCTGCTTATAATAGGTTGCAAGATTACAAGAACAGCTACAAGCTGAGAGGGACTTGAGGGCTGCCCTGGAAGTTGGATTGAGCATGTCTCCTGGGCAGTTATCAGGCTCTCGCGGTATGGATTCTAAGGTTCGTTGTTTATATTGATTGTGATGTATCTTAGTAAGTAAAATATTAACTCACCTCTACTGTATTGCATGCATCAAAGGCATTTTTTGTAAAATCTATTTCTGTTTTATAGACAAGGGCTGAGCTTGAAGAGATAGCACTTGCTGAGGCTGATGTGGCTAGACTAAAGCAGAAAGTTGCAGAGTTACACCATCAACTTAATCAGCAGCGCCAAAATCACTTTGATCCTCTAGCTGATGCTTGTGATCGTTTTCAACATGCCCAAAACGATAGCCCTCAACTGTGAGATAAAATACTAATTGGATATCACTTTCTGTTGGTGTCTTTTTGTAACTAATGGTAATGATGGATGATGATCATCATAATGGTAACAATAATAGTAAATAGTTAAAACTTAAAATACTTGATCCCGTCTACATCTAATGGTAAAATAAGTGATCAGTACTTACTTATAATCATGATGTTATATTCCCTCTGCCCTTTAAAAAAACCCATCTTCACTTTTGCATGCATTTTAAGATAGTGGAGTTTGTGTGGTTGAGATTTATTTAGAAAAGAAAGAAAAAATATCAACTGAACACATCACTTTCCATAAAAGAAAAGGTGAAGTTTATTTGGGACATCCCAAAAATGACAACCTAAGTTTATCAAGGGATAGTGAAAGTATGAATGCATTATTATGTGTAAAATACATCCCACATTTCCTATTTTCCTATATACAGTGAATAAAATAGAATGTAGGAGTACTTCAGATGTTATTCACTATATAATCACTTACTTTACCATTAATCTGCAGGAAATACTTTCAGCAAGATTTTGACACAACCCTTGCTTTCTGTAATCATGAAAGGAAACAAAGGACTGAGGTGAGTGTGATAGATTTGAACTGAAGAGTAGCCTTGGAACTTATTTGCAGTTCTATCAATGCATATGCAATCGCGGCCGTAATATTTTCAATTTTGTTATACTGTGCTACCTTAGGTTCCTTATGATTTCTCTTGCTCTTGGTTTTTTTGAACAGTTAGTCATATACTCATATGAACTATGAAGATAAGTTTCACATACATTTTTAACTCTTCAATTTAGTTTCTACAATTCTATATTTCTTTAACTCTTCAATTTAGACTTCTATTCAAGTAGAGTCTCGTTTTGCCACCGTGATCACGCAAAAAAGCCATTTTTTAAGAAAACCCGTTCTTTTTTTTGGAAACAGATAACTTAATCATTAATAACGTCGAAGACCGGGTACAAAATCGCCATATCAAAGGCTACACTAGGGTGAGACTCAGAGCTGGAGACACGTTTACTAGCGGCCCATCTCGCTAACCCCGCAATGTGGTAGACTCTAAGCACAACAATGTTGTTCCTGCTACTAGAAAGGGAATGAAAAGACAAAACAGAGTTCAAAACTGATGAAAAAACAGAAAAATAACATAAGCCAGTTTGACCAGCCACTTGCAAGAGAGTAGCGGTTTGACCAGCCTCTGCTAAAGGAACATCCATCAAGCTCTCGCCTCCTTCCACTACTGGTGGTGCTGCCCGGTCAGCACCGCCACTTCCAAGTTTTTTGAAGCCACCTCATCAACATCCATGCTTGCCTGCGTCCCCACCTCGTTTTCCTTTTCAGTGATCCGGCGCTTCCTAGACGCATCCCTAGTTGACACAATCTCCTTCCCCTTTGATAAAAGTCCCTCCACCAAATAGCTCTCCTGATCCCCCGCCTCTCTGTCCAGCTTTGCAATTTTTCCTTGCCTATCTCCCGGTTTGTTATTACTAGGAATAAGCCATCTGTTCCCCGGGTGAACTCCTCCCCATCTCCCAGACCACTATGCGGGTTGGAGGGGCAGAATCGATCAGCATGACCCAGAATCCCACATAGAAAACAGAAATTTGGGAGTCTCTCGTATTTGAAATTTGCCCAGGTCCAATTGTCTCCCTCCTGTCTAACCTGCAGGCGTCGAGTTAGAGCCACCTTAACATTCAACGTGACCCTAATGCGCATAACCAGCCTTTGTTTTCCGCTAGGAGAGCTCTCATCCAGTTGTACAAAGGAGCCAATGCTATTGGCTATACCACGTGCAGCCTTTACCGTCATATAACTTAATGGTCCAATTCAACCTCTAGAGGTTTATCAGTACGCTCCAATCGTCGAATAACCACCAAATTCTGCTCAAAGGACCAAGGCCCTTCTTCCACAACTCTATTCAAGTCTCCTTCATGATAGAATTGTAATAGGAATTTTGAGTCCTCAATTTCATCAATAGAGACTCCTTTCACTGGCCTCTAGACCATGGCCATTGTTTGACAGAAAGAAACAGTGTGAACAGGTTTGTCAGTCACCACTCGAGCCACGACCGCTAGATTATACCCCTCAACAGCTCCACCCTCCTGTTCCAACGGATCAGCAGCAATAACCAGTCCCCTATTCTCTTCCTCGGCAATTGATAACATATGAACCTTCTTTGATATCTCCATTTTCACCCCCAAAAGAACAATAATCACCAAAGCAAGAGAACTGGAAAACAACGGAAACAAACCAAAACTTCGAACAGAGACCTTCAATCGAAAGGCCAATCAAGACTCTCAACCAACACCAATACACCACAGCTAAAATACTCGGCCAGAATTCAGCCGGACAAAACCCACGGAATGAATCCGGACAAGAAAAAACTTGAAAAAATTCACTGATGGAATAGAGCTATGAAACCTGCCCTGCACAGATGCCACGCCGCGTGGCCTGCGCCTCCGTCGCAAGTCTACTCGGTCATCGATCTGCAACTCGTTCGTGCGCCGCCTTAGTCATCGCCGCTGCTGGAGAAAACCCGTTCTTATTAAATGTGCGTTATTTAAATGTATTTTGAAGCTAAGAGCCTAAGAGCCCATTTGGCAAGGGTGAATACATCCGTAATTGCTGAACTTGTTGAATGATCAGAAAAATTATTAAATGTTTTATAATGTTACATTGCAGAAAATAAAACCTAAAACCAAGGGTTAAAGTGTTACTACCTCCGTCCCACTAAGATTGGGACAAGAGAAGGCGACACGATTATTAAGAAAAGTGGGTTTGTGTGGTTGGTATTAAATTGATAAAGTAAGAATAAAGTTAAAATGATTTAGAGCCACACAAACTTTACCAAATTTGGTATGAGACAATCTTAGTGGGATTTCCTGAAAAGGTAAAATGGGACAATCTTAGCGGGACGGAGGGAGTATTTTTTAGGGAAAAATAATTGAAGACCCCAAACTTTGAAGGGGTGTGAGGTGAGCACCCCAAACCCCAAACTTGCATATGTAATTTAAATACTCCAAACTTTATATAAAAAGTTATTTTAGCACCATGATCATGCATTATTTCTTTCAAAAATGTAAGTTTATGGTGTTAATTTCATAATTTAAAATATTTTAGCATTCATGAAGATACAATTAACATTCTAAACTTTCAATGTAAAATAAATAATAGTACCCCCACCCTATAAATGCAACATTTTTAACTTGATGTTTTAAATTATGCAATTAACACAATAAATTTACATTTTTTAAAGAAATAATATATGACCATGGTGCTAACATAAATTTTATATAAAGTTTGGAGAATTTAAATTACATATGAAAGTTTGGTGTGTTTATCTCACTCTAAAGTTTGGGGTATTTTAATTATTTTCCCTTACTTTTTATTCATTTAGCAACTTCAGCCAAATTAGATGTCGCCAAATACCCACTAAATCATCCTTGTGTCTTTTTTCTGTTTCGTGGCCGTATATATTTTGCAAATTATTAGCTAGTGTCATTTCGGGTTTTGATCTATTTACTTCAAATATAAACTATCCTATTTCGTGGCATATGGTATACGTATACCACTATTTAATATCCAGACCTTTGAGGTTAGACCATCTACATCCTTGTGTCGTCTAAAAACTTAAATATGGACTCCGTCGATATGAAAACAATGTTTAGACTCCATCAATACTATTTCTCTACATTCCAGCACCGTCAATAAAATACACTCAACATATTTTTATACATATCAGTTTATTCAAACATTAAGTACATAACTATAAGTAATTCTTTTTTTACCTTTTTTCAGTTTTACTAAAAAATAATATGAGTTTATGTAAAGTTAAGTTATTTATGGATACAACATGGATTAAAAATCTGTGTTACGTGTTTTTTATGGCTCCAAAAAACTCTAGAAATTAAATATATATATATATATTTTAAAATTTGGAGAAAAAATAAAAAAGTTTTAAGTCTTTAAAAAACTTTGGGAGCGAGTGATAGAGCAAAAACTCCGAAGAAATGTGAAGATTTCACAGAATCAATTTGGTTTTATGTCTGGTCGCTCAACAATCGAGGTCATTCACCTTCTTTGGCAACTTGTGGAGAAGTATAGATACACTAATAAGGATCTGGATATGATGTTCATTACTTCATTTACTTAGAAAAGGCATATGATAGGGTACCTCGAGAAGCTCTTTCGTAGGCCTTAAATAGAAAATGCATATCACGCAAGTATATCAACATCATCATGGATATGTATGAGGATTGTACTACAAATGTCCGTACTAGTGTAGGGAGGGCTGTAGAGTTCCCTATTACTATCGGAGTGCAACACGGATTGGCTTTGAGCCCTTTCTTATTTGCCTTAGTTATGGATAAACTTACAAAGTCAATTTAAGACGATATACCGTGGTGCATGATGTTTGCCGACAATATTGTATTGATTGATGAGACTTAATCAGGTGTTTGGAATTATGATGACAAACATCGGAGAATAAGAGTTTCAGACTGAGTCAAAGCAACACTGAGTGGATGAGGTGTTAGTTTGGTGGAGGTAGAAGCAGTGGTAATAGTGAAATTACTCTAGATGGTAAAGAAGTATCGGTCAATGATAAGTTCCATTACTTGGGCTCCATAATTCAGAAGGATGGGAAATTAGATGGAGATGTATCCCATAGAATCAGAACAGAGTGGATGAAATGGAAGAGCGCATCAGGATTTCTATGTGATCGAGGTATGCCAACTAGACTGAAGGGTAAATTTTATAAGACAACAATTAGGTTTGCATTACTGTATGGCGTATTGTTAGACAGTGAAACAAAGTCACATTCAAAGGATGAGTGTGGCAGATATGCGCAGCTGTGTTGAATGTATGGACATACTAGAAAGGACCGCTTAAGGAATGAGACAATCAGACAAAAAGTGGGAGTAACACCTATTGAAGATAAGACGCGGGAGTCTCGCTTGCAGTGGTTTGTTCATGTGCGTAGAAGATCGAGATGCCAGGCGAGTTGAAAGGTGTAGAGAAGGAGCAAAGAAGAGAGGGAGATGAAGACACAAACAAACATGAATTAGAGGAGTTAGGAGTGATATGTTTCTACTTGGGTTGGATGAGAGTATGACTTTGGAGAGAGCAAAGCGGAGGGCGGGTATTCGTGTGGTGGAGTGATCTTATCCTTTTTTTCCCCTTCATCTTCCTTTTCTCTCTTGTGTTTTTGTTTTTTATCCTTTTATCTTTATATATATATATATATATTCTTTTTATGCTTTTTATTATATTTTTTTATGTATATTTAATCTCTTTTTATATCATCTTTTTATATGGTTACTTATTTTTTTTATCTTTCTTGTCTTTCCTTTTCTGTTGGTTCCGATATTATGTATCGTTTCATGTTAGTCGACCCCAAAATATTTTGAGACTATGGCTCATTGGCTTGGATGTTGTTGTTGGATGATGTCTGCGTGATGTCATCCGCTCTACCATCTTACCGCAACCTTCCCTTTTGTTTTTTCTTTTCTTTTCTCCCTGCCAAGTGCCAATCCACTCTCTAAATTTAATTCCATCCACCCCATTCCTACTTTTAACCCCTTTTTTAATCCCGCATTACATTCAATTAGGAGTCCAAAACCTCCAAACCTAGCATTTTGGACTCCTAATACCTCTCCACTACAAATGGTCTTATGATGCAGGAACTGTTTTGTTCGGAACTGAGGAACGTCAAAGGACCAGCTCTGACGCCTGGCAACACTAGCAGGCAGGCAGCTCACAAACATTCATTGGAGTCCACGAGCTTGAGTGATTCTAAGAGTGCTGAAGCATCAACCAGTTTATCCGTGGATGAATTTGGTGTTGTTGTTGACTCCGTCTCTCTGCCATCTACCTCAAGGGCTACGGAGGTAATAATTGAAATAAAACGGAAGAAAAAACAGTATTAAGCTCCGAAAACATTCTAGACTATTCTATTCAATCCTAGTTTTATTTTATCTTATGTTGAGCCTTGTATTTTGGACTTGGGTTTTCCGTTTCACTTTTCACTATATTTAGGTGCTGTACTGCTTTAATTATTTTGTCATTAGTACTCCCTCTGTCCTATAAAGTTATAAAGATAAGCCATTCTTGACTCTTTTGGTCATCTATGTTCAGATTTGGCTAATGTTTTTAATTGATACCCCGACTATTTTAGTGGCTATTCTAGTACATTTTATATCATCTAGAAACGGTCTCTTTGTGTTTTAGTACAAGGATAAGACTGCGTACATCCTACCCCCTTACCCCACCGAAGGTGGAAGCCTTTGTGGCACTGGGGTAATGATAATGATAATGATTAGTTCCACGTCATAAGTCATTTTGAACAGAATTGTATCATTTTCCAAAATCAAACATGACCTATCATTGGTCAAAGTTCTACATCTTTACCGTATTTCCTTTTTTCCTAGTGATTTTATACTCTTCTTTTTAGTTATCCTAGTCAGTGCATCCAACTTGCCGTAGACTGCACTAACGGCAGGTTCATTTAAACTTTGTTCTGAACAATTTCTTTCATGTGATCACAGGCTGAATAAACAAAATAGAAGAAAATGGGTTTAATAGTGTTCAACAATAAACTATTACTGTACTTTCCTGGATATGACTTACTGACGTGATAGGAGACATACATAACGACCATATCAAACCATGAAATTCCTTCCTTTTGAAAAAAACAATCATGTTTCAAACTCTCAAAACGTTTTGTACCAAAAATTATTCAGTTTTAAAAGATTTTTTTTAAAGTACATTTCTTGTATATCCATGTGGCAAGCAAGTTCAGTCAACTACTCCGAATAATCTTTATATTAACTTTTAGGGGTACCTTGGTTGAGTTAACTAAATTTAAAAATTTGCACTTTACTCGAGCATGGCTTATTTTTCCAGAGGGGGTACCAAGACTACCAGTACTAAGTACTAAATATCTGTACTTCAAAAAATAGTATACAACAACATCAAGCCTTAGTCCCAAAAGATTTTGGGCCGGCTAACATGAATCGATCTATGATATCAGAGCAAAGCGATATTCATATTTCGGTTCATGTCATGTGATGTGACTAAGTGATGCTATTGGCCGTCCTGCTCTTGCCATAGCACCTTCCTCCTTTATCTTGGCTTGGGACAGGCATGATAACAAAATGATCTCATTGCGGATACGATTTATCTGCTCGTCTTTCTGGCCAATCGCTCCGCTCGGCTCATTGGAGTCATCAGATTAGTATGGTCTTCACAACTAAAGGGCTATGTTTGGTTTGGAGGGGAGGGACGGGGTGCTGCCCTCTGGTTTTGGTGCACAAAAAACTAGAGGGTAAGATTATAGAAGTTTTAACCCCCCCCCCCCCCCCCCCCCCCCCCTAATATTTTAACCAACTGAGTGGAGATGATTCCCTCCCTTCCCCTCAAACCAAACACAGCCTAAGCATGGGATTACCTCTTAAGCTGATCCAAGGGTCGTCCAGGGCTAAATAGAGGATCCATATTTAAATAAACTAAGACACTGTTCATTGTGCACCATTGCATTGTTTTTTTATCCTGTAGTACTAACTGCAGAAATGGGGGGGGGGGCCTTGAACCAGGGATTGGGTTATGGTCGGCATCCTCCTCCAGTCATTGCATCTTCCACCTTGGTGGAGTTGACCACACGATTGGATTTCTTCAAAGAAAGACGTTCTCAGCTGATGGAGCAGTTGCACAACCTTGACCTAAATTACGGGTCAGCTCCACAAGATTTCATGTACAAACCACCATCTTCATCTCCACCGTGGAACTGATCAACGGACCAAAGGTGGGGAGGATACTTGACACAGTTGACAGCATTTGCAAGGTGTTGCGGGATCTTACCATTTGTACATTCTTTTTTCATTACTACTGCTGCATATGCATATTCCCACGATGTATTTTTTTTGGGATGCCATTTTTCTTTCTTTCTAACTGTTCTCTGAAATAGAGTGCTCGGTTTGTTAATCAATATTATGAGTTCTGTGCACTCTACTGTTGTTGTAAGCATCATCTTGGCTATTGTGTAATATATAGAGTTATGTTTTGTTCTTTTTTCGCCAATTATTTCTTTTTGGAGTTGAAGATCTTGCATATCTTTTATTCTTCTCTTTTGCCATCCTCGATCCTCCCCCTCATAGTGTGTAGCAAGAAGCTGAGAACATGAATGTGGAGTCATAAAATGCCTCACCGGACATGAATGTGTACTGTGTAGTACCTCTGAATCCCTCTGATAGGACTACCCCGACAGGAAGTGAGAACTGACACAGTTTGTACAGTGTCGGTATGGAAAAGCACACTAGCTGCCTTACGTAGAAACCAAGTACTAGGAATGGACCAGTTCCGGTTGGCCTGGCCCAGGAACCGGCCCGACCTGCCACAGTGAGGGCCCGGGCCTAGGACTGGCCCGGTGTGTTAGAGGGGCCCGGTTCTGGGCCTACCCTTCCTTCGGAACTGTCCGGGCCGGGCCCAGTTCAGATTTTTTTCTTCCAATTTTTGTTGTTTTTCCTGGGTTGGGCTAGGTGTGTGTGTGGGGGGGGGGGAGTTAATTAGTAAAGCAAAAAAAAAAAGAACTGGCCCGGACCCGGTTGCAAACCGGGCCGGTTCTCCCCAAAAGCCCGATTTGGACCGGACCGGTCCATGCCTACCAAGTACAGAGCAATTAGATCATCAGAGCTAGTAGTACACACTAATATATATGGACTAGTCAAACAGAAGCCCGCCCAATCCCGGAGCCCGTCCCAGTCCATGCCTACAGTTTTGCACTTGCGGCTAGTGATGGACCCGGGCCGGGCCAAGGCCCGGTTGGGCCTCGGGTCTGGTATAGGTTGGCCCGGGACCGGCCCGGGCTATGGACGGTTCCGGTTCGGGCCGGGCAACCCGGCCGGGTCACGGGTCAGGCCACCCGCCGGGCTAGGGGTGGACTCGGGCCGGGCGGCCTGAATCGGCCCGGCCCGGTCACTGTTTGAACTGGCCCGGCCCGGCGGCCCGGCCCATGGGCGGTTCGTGTCGACCCGGCCCGGTGGCTACCGGTTCCGGGCTCGGGCCTTCATTTTGGTGAATCGGCCCGGCCGGTTCGGGCCCGGTCCGGATTTAATTTTTTTTTTGTTGATTTTTTTTTTTTTAAGTTTTTGGGTTGGATTGGGTATTTTGGACCATTTGAGGTGGTTTGGGGTTGGGGGGGGGGGGGGGTAGGGGGTTGATTAGGAAAACCCAAAAAAAAATTATATAGAACCAAACCGGGCCCGGCCCGAACTGGACCCGGGGGTTACCCGGGCCGGTTCTGGGCCTCCCCTACCTTGAACCGAGGCCCGGCCGGTTCAAGACCCGAACCGGGCCCGGCCAGAACCGAGTCCACCCTTACGCCGGGCCGGGCCGGTTCATTATATATATATATATATTAATTATATATTATACAAATTCCTATTAAAAACAAAGTTCAAGTGCATTTATTTGAAATAGAAACTACATTTGAGAATTGAGAAAAAAATAACAATACGAAATACATTTTCTAATAAATATCAATTGGGATTTCCGCCACCGTTGGATGTTGTTTTCCCTTTGTCACAGGACTTCATATGTTTTATTGGCATCTCGTATCCGTGTGAACGCCCCAAGCAACACTCTTTCTTGCACCACTTGCAAGTTGCTCACCACAGTCCGGTTTTCGGGCCCTTCCACTTATCAAAATTGTTTTGCATAAGGGAAGATGTACTTTCCATCTTTAAAATGGTTATGTATAAGTAGGAATGTAGGATAATAAGAGAAGATGAAGATGAAGAAGAGTTGGAGAAGAGTTGGAAAAGAGGTGTAGAAAAATGTTAGAAAATAGATGTATTTATAGATGTTTTTGAACCCCACTCCCCACACCACCACCCCCGGGACTCCCTGCCCCCCACCCAAAGCCCCAACGGCTATATAGCCGTTTGGGAGCTTTTGTTTGAAAAAACAAATTCAATTTTTTTTAAAGTTATACATATTGTAAAATAAGTTAATTAATTTAATGAATTAAGTAAAGCTATTTGTACTTAGAAAAGTGGTTTGATTTATAATTCACAAATGTTACAAAATAGGTGTATAAGTATTTAAACAAATTACATATTGTAAATGTATTTTTAATTTAAAAACCGGCTTTAGATTTTAGAAAAATAATTTTAAGTCGTAAGTTTGTAACCAATAAATTAATTTGAGAAGTGCTACATATGAAAAAATGAACGCATATTTATTTGAAATATGAAGTACAAGTTTACAAATTAATTTGAAGTACAACTACAAAAATTTACAATTTTGAAATATGAAGTACAAGTTTACAATTTTGAAATATGAAGTACAAGTACAAATTAATTTGACAAGTGCTACATCGGCATAGGTAGAGCCACCATCGGTTGTTGAGTCATCCATAAAATCTTGAGAGGGGGTGATGCTCATTTCTTGAGTTCTACGTGCGGCCTTCAACCAATCGTGGTAGCATATAAGCGTCTCAAGAGACTCTGCGCTCAATCTCGATCTAGATACCGTTAGGAACTTAGGACGTTGCCGGCCGAACTAAATTCTTGTTCCACAGCAACTGTTGAAACCGGCATTGATAGTACTTGCATAGCCATCCGTGCTAAAATCGGGAACGTTCTTTCTTTTGACTTCCACCAGTCTAGAACGTCAAAGTCATCATTTTCTTCAAAATCAACTTCATATGTTATATACAAAGTAATCTCATTCAATGCGCTTTGTTCAGTGACGTGAGTTGTTTTAGTTTTTTTCATAAGATTGCATAATGCAGATTTAAATATCGATTTTCCTTTAGATGAAGATGTTCGTGACGGGGGAGGGGGAGCATTGCTATATTGTGCACGAAACTCATTAAATAAGGCATAAAATAAAGCACTAACCTCGTTGTATTCCGTTTCCGAATCTATGAGGTTATCGTCATACATTGGAAATTCACCAAAAACGCAAGATAATAGAAGTTGAAACAATCTTCCAAATTAGCTAGTCTAAAACGAGGATCGAGAATAAATGCAATACCATAAATATGGGGAATATGCGCATAATATTTTAAAAACTTTTCCTTCATATAATCACAAAAATAACTCACGAAATCGGCATTCTCAAATTCTTTAAAAGCACCGGCGAGATTAACAGCTTTACGAATAAATTGGTTTGCGGTAGGTTTATAAATATGACTAAAAGTTTCAGTTTCATTAAAAAAAATATCAAAACATTACAAATTTTTTCGCAAGTGTCGATTTCAGCCGAGTTTATAATATAGTTATCATGTTGTTTTAAAAAAGAAGGAAAATGTTCTTTATATCTAAGAACAACTTTAAGTAATTTATAAGTACTATTCCAACAAATACTGAAATCTTTAGGAAAAGCAACATATCTCACACCTCTTTCAGTCAAATAAGTTTGCCATTTTAATCTAAGTTGACCATTACCCCAAATACGTCTAATCCCCCCCCCTTCACTACCTCAATAGCATCTCCTAACGCTTTTAGACCGTCTTGCACACATAAATTTATAACATGGCATGCACAGCGTTGATGAAAAAAATCTACCCATCAAAGTATTGGCACCACACAATTCACGCAATCTAGGTATAGCAGCAGTATTATTAGTAGCATTATCGAAACCAATAGCAAACACCTTGTCAATCAAATTATACTCAATTAAAATACGCTCAATCAAAATATAAATATGTTCAGCGGTGTGACGAAAAGCAATTAAATTCACGAAAAGCAAGAACACGTTTATACATATTCCAATCCTCATCAATATAATGTGCAGTCAGACCCAAATAATATAAATGATGAAAATCATCCTCCCATATGTCAGAACAAATAGTAACACGTCCATCAAAGTTTGCAAAAAAAATTTGCAACCTTGCCTTTTCCGCATTATAAAGCCTTATAATTTCTTTCTTAACGGTTTTACGACTATAATTTCTAAAATGAGGATTTAAACTACCTTGTGCATAATCTCTTAAAGCAAGACTTTCAGAAAACATATAAGGCAAATTTTCTTCACAAATTAAGTTAGCCATACCAGTCAAATTTTGTGCATCATTGTAGGAGAAATTACCAAAAGGTTAAGAATTCGCAGTCAAATGGGAATACTAATGAACTAATTAATTAGTATAATGAAAAATGTAACAAAAATGCTAATGAACTAATTAACTAGTTTAATGAAAAATGTAACAAAAATGCTAATGAACTAATTAACTAGTTTAATGAAAAATATAAAAAGAATACTAGTGAACTAATTAACTAGTATAATGAAAAATGTAACAAGAATGCTAATGAACTAATTAACTAGTATAATGAAAAATGTAACAAGAATGCTAATGAACTAATTAACTAGTATAATGAAAAATGTAACAAGAATGCTAATGAACTAGTTAACTAGTATAATGAAAAATGTAACAAGAATGCTAATGAACCAATTAACTAGTATAATGAAAAATGTAACAAGAATACTAATTAACTAGTATAATGAAAAATGTAACAATAATACTAACTAACTAATTAACTAGTATAATGAAAAATGTAACAAGAATACTAATTAACTAATTAACTAGTATAATGAAAAATGTAACAATAATACTAACTAACTAATTAACTAGTATAATGAAAAATGTAACAAGAATGCTAATGAACTAATTAACTAGTATAATGAAAAATGTAACAAGAATGCTAATGAACTAATTAACTAGTATAATGAAAAATGTAACAAGAATGCTAATGGACTAATTAACTAGTATGATGAAAAATGTAACATGAATGCTAATGAACTAATTAACTAGTATAATGAAAAATGTAACAAGAATACTAATTAACTAATTAACTAGTATAATGAAAAATGTAACAAGAATACTAATTAACTAATTAACTAGTATAATACTAGTTATAGTAACTAATATATAATATAATGTTTATAGTATATAATATATAAGTATACTACTATAAGATGAGTAATACACTTATATTTTATACTTTAATATATAAACTATATATTAAGTAGATGTAGAATGTATGTATTAACTATTAAGTGGATATA